AGAGAGAGAGAGAGAGAGAGAGAGAGAAAGTGCGAAACGAATGTGTGGTGTGTAGGTTGTATGCATAATTTATAATGCGTACTTTAAAAAAACCATCTGCCTATGACACGACACAGACTGCAGAAATACACTGTTACTGTAAACTGCACACTGCGTGTGCACGCTCTAAACGTCACACACTTCTTACACTTTGTATGTAGAGCGTGCACCGAACAGTTTTTAGAGTTACTTACAAGTATGGTTTGGTATATTCAAAGTGAAAGAATCAAATTCTTAATTATTATCATCCCTTATTTTTGATCAATAAACGATCTGTTTTGGGGATTTATTCGAATCATTTTCTTTTCCTTTCCTAAGTTTTTTTTAATAGCAGGACAATTGTGAATAGTCTTCAATAAAGAGTGAATCCCCAAATTTTATAAATATTATTTTTCTTCTATCCTTTTTTCATTATATTTCTCTTTCATTGGATTTTTAATAGAAATATACACATTAATTTTCGTTTTTTTTCCTTTGTGTTGAAGCGTGAACATTTTTTCGAACGAATAAACGAAATGTAAAGTCTGTAAAATAAACTTACTCTCGTACAAAAGCAGTGACTGTATTTACACATATTCCAACACTAAAAAAATATATGCCTTCTATCGAATCAAGTAACAACTATTGTATATGCCTTTTTCAATGTTGAAAATGATAAAATCGTGAGACCGTTTTTTAATATTTTCCAGAACTGAAAGAGTGAGCTTAACGAATTAAAAGAAATAAAAAAGTAGAAAAGATTAAAAAAAAAAAAAAGAAACAAATACTATGTTCTTCACAATTAAATTTTAGTTAATGAAATTATATTTGAATTAACTTGTAGTAGTACAGCATGTGCAATAGATTAAACAACATTTATCCTTTATAAGTAATATTAAAACAATAAGCCCCCCACATTATCCTAATTAATTCTGTAATAAAACATTCAGCGTCCGCCTCAATATTAATGATGATAGAATTGTTTTCTGCGAAGTAATAAGATTATAAAGAATTAATATGCTATGTTCAATTTTTGGTAATGAAAAATATTTTTTCTTAATACATTTAATATCTTACACGCTGATGCGATTTGTACTATTTTGAGTAAATGCTCTTAATTTATGCGCAATGAAGATAATTCAAAATTCTTAAAAAAAAAAAAAAAAAAAAAAAAAAAAAAAAAAAAAAAAAAAAAAAAAAAAAAAAAAAAAAAAAAAAAAAAAAAAAAAAAAAAACGTGAAGAAAAAAATTTAAATCGAAGTGATGGCAATGTATAAGAATGATTACTAGATCTCTTTTGTCAATTAAGTGATGGTTTTATAATAATGTAAAATACAAGGGTAACATTAAAAAGAAGCAACATGACGTAAAAAAAACTTATTGAAATAAAAACAATACGAATTTTGATTTGATGCCAAGAGCTTTTTCTTAGGCCATACAATATTCTTTTGTATTTTGTCTCTCTAATTTTATAGATATATTTATTTATACAAAAATATTTGTAATTTTTTTATACATCATCTTAATTTGCATTTATATAATTTATTTCAAATTACGTTATTGCAATTAAAATTAAAATTAATTTTAATTTTTTTGATTATTTTACAATGAATACAATAATTTTATAATTCAATGTTTCACAACAGCAAAATATTAAATTTTCTATTTAATTTAAATGATTACAATGCTTGATTTAGAGTATAATAAATATGAAAATTGTAAAAAAACTTATCCTTAATAATTTGCTATACAGAAAATTTCATTTCTCTATTATATGTAAAAGTTATAAAATAATTTGTTATTAATGAACAATATGTTTCGATTTAAATATTCTTACGGTGTTGTCTGCACCTCCAGATACTATGAATTTAGGATTTGACCAATTACAACATAATACTTTATCTTCATGTCCAGAAAGATCAAATAATGGTGCTTTAGGACTGTAAAAAAAATGGAATTTTTTTTTAAAAAAGAAATATTTATATCTTTACATAATTTCATAAATTAATATTATAAAATTAGTGATTATTAAACCTTCTGGTGTCCCACAGTTTCATATCATTATCATATGCTCCTGAAATAAAAAGATTTTCATGTACAGGTGACCATTTTACAGATTGTACCCATTGTGTGTGAGAAGTAAATATTGCTTTTACCAATGATCCCTCTAAAAAAAAGAATATATGTATAATCTCATTGCAACTTGCAATGAATACAATTTGAAAAACAATTTTAAAACCTGTAGATCTTGGATCATATAATCTGATATGCCTATCGGCTGATGCTGTTATAATAGTGTGGCTTAATGGAGAATAATCAAGATCAAAAAAACTTTTATTTCCAGTCAATTCGTGTTTAATTCCTCCTAATTCTGAATCCCATATTTTTATTGTATGATCCCATGAAGATGTTATAATTTCTATTTTATCTGACCATACTACACCACTAATAGCTTCTTTGTGACCTTTCATTGTTCTTTTAGGTATCTTTATGGTATAATAAATATAATAATTATATGGTATATGGTATAATAATAATAATAATTATAATTATTTTTTATTTAAAAACATTTTATTTATGTTCATTTATTTTTATTTACCCTTGTTTTTCCATGTTCTGATTTTAATCTCTTTGAAGTAGATTCACCATCTTCATTTTCATCTTGATTAGCTAAAAGCATAAATGAAATATTATTTTATGAATTACTTATTTTCTTTTTAATATATAAATACCTGTAGACCAGATTTTAAGCATTGTATCCCATGCTCCAGTTGCCATTATTGTCTTGTCATAATTAATATCAACAGCTTCTAGTCCACGTTCATGTCCTCTGCATACATGAATACAATCTACTGAATTTTCCATAATATTCCAGTCCCATATTATAGCTGTTTGATCTTGGGATGCACTGTGAATAATAAATTAATATAAGAATTATTTGAAAATGTTCATTTTATTTTTAAAATTTTATACCTAACAAAACTAGCTGTGTCATTAGTTAAGGATATCCATGCAACTGCTTTAATTGGTGAAGTATGTCCAGGAATTACCAAATGATGTTTTCCTTTACATGTCCATATATGTAATGTATTATCATAACAGCCTGTTAGAATCCTATTAAAATATTTTTTAATGTAAAATAATTTTTAATATCTTATTGTTAAATAAATAAAAAAAGTAACCATTTCTCATAAACAGCAATAGCAGATACCCAATCATCATGTATAAGACAATCTTGAGGTTCAGGTGGTGGATACTTTTCAACATATTCAATAATTATTACATCTTCTGTAGAAATATTTTTTTCTGTTATGTGTTCAATTAATGAAGTACGTAAAAATTGTGAACACACCAAAAAATCAAATTCTATTTCATTTTTTATATTACTTGATTCTAAAATTAAAACAAGCATTTTAAATAAATTTAATTTAATAATAATAGTTATATATATATATATATATATATATATATATATATATATATATATATATATATATATAGAAATGAATCATATAGTACCCTTCAAAAGTTCATTTATAAGAGTATTTAATTCATTTGATACAATAGATGTATGAACTGATAGAGGAAAATCTGGAACTGCATATCTAAAAATTGAAAAATTTATATATTATATATATTAAAATTATTTTTATAATAAAACTGTTACAAATTATATATATTATATACACAATATCATATCCATGTAATAAAATAAAGTAACCTCTTAATTTAGTTCATAAAATATAATTTAAATGAATACATACTGTTTTTGTTTAGTAAGAAATTTTATTTGTACTTGTGGAACACTTTTGTTCACATTTATATTATCCATTGCAATTTCTGTACTATTTGTTTTTTATTTTTATATAAATTAAGAATTAGGAAAATGCACGTGTATATTACATTTTAAACAAGTTTTATCGGCACTACCAATCGATTATTTAATATGCTTATAAATAGATTTATACAATCGATATTTTACTATCGATGATCATTTTTTATATTATCGAAATATTAAATTTTTTATGTTGAGTTTGGTTTCGTATAGAAGTCTGTACTTCACGAATATCTCTAAATGTATAAACTAAACAAGCTATAATAAATTTTTATATTTAGTCCGAGATATAAAAGATATAAATAAGACCTGTGATTAGGTAAGTTACAAGATTTGTAATTCTATATTCTGAAATACCGATTGCGTAAAAAATTATAGTATTTAACATATTTAGTTCTTTATGATTTAGAAATAACTGCAGAAAAGATTCAATTCAATCAAAAATTATTGAAGTTAACAAATTTTAAAGATAATTTTTTTGATATATTCTTTTATAAATATTTCTATACATTATATGTATTATATTCATATTATTTGTTATAATAAATAAATTCATATAAGTGAATTTAAATTATGAATTAAAAATTACATTTGTATTTTTTATTACGATGCAATAAAAAAAAATCAATTTGTGAAATTTTTTTAAAAAAATTGATTTAAATATAATGCTATTAAAATAATAATTTTATTTATATATTTGCTAATATACAATATTAAATGTTAATATTTATGCAATATCATCAATGATTTCAAAAAATTTGATAGGAAATATTTTATTACTAAAATCATATAAAAGTTATAATTTCTTATTTTTATTTTTTTCGCTGGTTTTTGATTATAATATTTATTTTTTATTTGATGATGTATCAAATTTTACAGAATAAATATAAACAAAAAAACAAATAATAGGAGAAAAACATAAAACATAAAGAAAACGTAAAAAAAGTATCTCTACAATGTCATAATAAATAAAATAAAATAAAATAATAAAAAAGATAAAATATGATACAAGCAAAGATAAATAGTAGTAGAAAAAAGAATAAAGAAAGAATTGTCAAAATATATTTCTTGAATATCAAAAATATATATAATATAAAATTTTAAAAATTAAAATATTTATATATTATAATTTAAAAATCTTTTTGAAAGTATTCAAGAGATGGCGTTGATACTTAATTTTTATTCTATTTTATTCTGCCTTTGAAAAAATATTTGATATTCGAGAGATGGCGTTAACGGTTAATTTTTATTCTATCTTTATCTTTTTTGCTATTATTTGTTATTTCTTTTTACTATTTGCTTTCTTTGTATTTCATTTTTGATGCTCTAAAGATGGCGCTGATTCACTAATATGCTATCTTTTTCTTTTTCCTGTTATTTGATTTTATCTATACTTGCAAAAGCATCAAGAATGCGAGTATAGACGATATATTAATTGAATACTTTTAATATTTCTTTTTTAAAATTACAATGTATCTTTATTTTTAAAAATTATACTATTACATTCTTTGTTTTATAATGTTTTTTTAATGTTTTTATAATGTTTTAAAACGACGAAACATAGTATAGTATATATGATATATATATATAATAAATTCTGTTACATATATATATATGATGCGATGTTTAATAATAATAATAACAAGTATCGCTCGATAATAAAAATGAGATTAAAAGAAAAAAAAATTTGACTTGTCAACAAAAAGAGTATAATAAAGAGTAAAAATATATAATAAAAAAGAAAAATTTTTAAGAAAAACAACATTAAAAATTCGTGATAATATTCTAAAATATTTCCAAAAAAATTTATAAATTATAAAAATTACTAACAAATTTATTTATAACTTATTTAAAGTTATTCTAATTATTTTATTAAATTATTTATTATAATTTTTTTATTCCTGTAATTTATAGCTATTTATATTAATAGCTTATAAGAATTTAAATAATAAATTATGATTTTTGAGACTATATTAATCAGATATATTATTTAGATATATATATAATCAGTTATATTATTTATTAATTTCAAATTAAAAAATAGCATGAATATAAATTGGAAATAAATATAAAGTTAATATTTTATAATTAATTAAATCAAATTTTTATATTATTTATTATGTTGTTTATTAATATTATCATTTTATATTAATATTTAATTTTATTTTATTCATAAATATTTAAAATATTTAATTTATTTAATAATAAAATAATATGTGTAATATATTTTTTAAGAATATACATTTAAGTTAGTAATTTAATGGAAAAAATTAAATATTGAAACATTAAAATGAATTAAATATTGAACATTAAAACGAAGGCTGATATATCACAGATTATTCTACTATTTATTCTGTTTTACTATCTTTGTTCTTCTGTGAAGAATAACAAAACTTATTATTTTCAGATTTAAATTTTCTGCAACAAGTATTCCAAATCGATACTTTGATGAAATTATAAAAATCCATTTTTGTTATGTAACAGAATTTATTATATTCAATTCTTATGCAATTGTGTATATTTCTTATATAGTTCAATCTTTATATAGTTTTAAGATTAATATTTCTTTGATATTAAAAATTATTGTTATATTAAACATTATATTAAAAATAATATATAACAATTTCTTAATTTTTTACATATAATAATTATGAATTTCATAATCATTATTAAAATATAATAAT